CCCTCTATTAAAGGCCACGGCTCCTGCTAGGTGGCCCTTTCCTATTACCATTATTACCAGGTTTCTGGTAACTGCCCCCTCCCTTTTCTCCTTCAGGCCTAAAGATGGTCACTGTGCTGTTCCCTGCATGCTCTTGCTAGTTTCAGGGTGCTCAACACCCCTTGCTGGTTTCCCTTAATAATGTGTACACCTTTGCAAATGGTCTCTTCATTAAACTTGCCTCAGTTACCCATTGTGAGCATGTCCATGGTTTCCTGCTAGGACCTGACTGAAGCCCACATTCCTAGTAAGTAAACTCTAACCTTTGCCTCGAATTCATGATTCACAATATGGCCCCCAGCAGTCTTTCCCCCTCATCGCACAGCTGGCTTTCTAACCAAACTGCAGATGCTGTATGCCTTCCTGCCTCTCTGCCTTTCCTCCCAGTGTCCCCTCTATCCAGAATAGTCCGCTATTTCCATTTCTGCCTGGTTCCAATGCCACCTCCTCCTTGAAACTTTTCCTGTGCTCTGATTATCCTCAGCCTAAGGTGGTATTTTGCAGTACCTCTGAACTTTTATGTATTATTTGTACCTCTTGTATAAGCTGTAGAGAACCATAACAAATACAGACTTCTCACACCATTAAATTCATAAGCCCAAGCGAGTGAGGCTGTCAATGACTCCTCCTGCAGCCCTTTCCTTCCTCCCTGGGACAGCTGTGCTCTGTGCAGAGAGGAAGCTTGAAGTCGCTTGATGTGGGGTGGACATTTCTGGGGATTCCGAGGATAGATAAATAAGGGGGGCTTTGGAATAAAGGGATAATTTGAGAAAGACGTGATTTTTCAAACAGGTTCCAAGGAGCACAAGGTACCGTAGAGGACTTTTCAGGGACCTATGGGAGGGTGTTTATATCCTCCACTCCAATTCTACCACTGTTTTAAACTGCTTTATAAAGTATGTAGGAGTTCTGCCTAATATTTCCTTTGTAAAAGGGTTATAATAGCAGCCAAAAAAAAAAAAAAAAAAAAAAAAATTGGAAACTACCAGAATAGGAAAGGGGAAAAGAAACACACCCTTGGAATGCTGAGGTTGTGATCAGTTCTCAGGTGGAAGTTTCTAGGGGGAAGACAGGATGTTGAAGCAAACAAACAAAACAAAAGAAAAAGCATAGAGACTGGACCCATTGCTAGAGGGCATATGAAAAGCTGGCTTCTTTTATTTTAGTTTTAACCTAAATTATGCCAATAAGAACAGTTTTTGAGTACCTCATCTCTAATACTTGATTGTAAGAATCTTGGATGACTGATATTATGTTTAATTCATCCTTATAATTCCCACATAGCCTACCTGACACAGAGTCTTGCTAATAGCAGACACTTAATACACATTTGTGAATGGATGGATGAATGAATGAATAAGTGAAAGCATAGCACTATGCTGTGAATCATAAGACCTTTTTTCCCCTGTCACTATTTCACTCAAGAAAATCACTTAATATCTCTTAGCCCCAATATAACCATCTCTAAAATGAGGAAGCTAGGCTATGTGGTATGTGAGCTCTAACAAACCATGGCTTGATGAGGCATGAGAGCTAGAGGAGGCATGATACATATCTGTGGTATCAGAATCCACTTCTAAAGTCTTACTGGTTGACTGCTTGGTTGTCTACATAAGAGCAAGAAGGCATGGGCCCAAATAGCAGCACAAGAAAGGTTGGACGCAAGAACAACTTCTATAAGTGCAAAAGGCAGCATGCCACAGACAAGGACTCAGTGGGCCTTGGTTCTAGCTCCAGTTCTACCACTGAGTTATGAGATGACCTTGTTCAGGTCACCTCATCTCTTACATCCTTGGAATGTGCCCATCCCTTTTAGCTTGGCTGTGCTAGAAATCCTTGAAAGACAACTGAGACTTTGGTAGGTGTCCTTTAAAGAGGGTGTAGCATTGCTCTCCCTAAAGTTGAGAAGGACCCAGTAAAGAGTCCTACATAATGCATTGGACTATTGAGATATACAGAGCTGAGTGGGAGATG